ATGCATTAGTTGACCTAGATGTTGAATAATAAAAATTTAAAAGCATTTAAAATTTTCCGTACGTGTACGTGTGTATGAAAAACGCGTAAGTGGAAAGCAACCTTTACCCGTCTCTTAATTTAGCGGACGGGAAAGTTAGACGGGAAAATTCGGACGAGAAACATGTGTGTGATTCACATGCATGCATCAGACGAGTCCCCCGTCTTCGATGAGTTTCCCGTCTCTAATATGAATCCGGCTAAAAGTATAGTCATGAGGCAACAAACATTACATCTGAAATGGCATCTGAAATCGCAAATATCCAGTTAAACAGACATTGACTATTTATTTCAAGACTGTATAAAGACTTGTTGTATAAATAGTCGAAACACTAGCTTGTATCGCTAGCAGGTTCGTCGAACATACAGGGTGTCCCAAAAAAAACGAAAACTATTGAAATCACTCATTGTTAAAATTTGAATGTCGTGTTCACGAATTTCAGCCCGTGGGGATTTAATGCAACTTATAAAATGCTAAATGCTTTGTGTTGCTAGAGAAAGGGGACATGTCGAAGGTCATGGTTTTTCAGTGTGATGCACATTTAAATATTGTTATCCATATTTGTAAATTTTAAATATCGTTAATAAATATCATTTTTGCGAACAAGCAAATTTGACTGCATCATATGCATGCATAAAAATGCTTATGGCAACCCCGATTTATACACTTGTGGGCCCAACAGAGTGCTTAGGCATTCAAACTCTAACAATGGCATTGTTATGGGTGATTTCAATAGTTTTCGGTTTTTTTGGGACACCCTGTAGAATACGCTAGTCTAATATTTGAACCTTTGTACAAAAGAGATCAACGTCTTAACAACTGCTTGACGACCACATCGTTTGTCGATAAGCTATTGTTCTCTATTTGACTTAATCGTTTCTTCGAAGGACTTTTAAATGAATAATTATGAATCGTTGCCGTAATATTGTTGAACCGCTGTTTGTTTGTTTGTTAAATGCGGAAATTGCGCTTTTGAACTGAACATCTTTTTTCTTAGCGTATTTTATATTCGACGAACCTGCTAGACAAGCTAGTGATTTCGACTCTTTATACAACAAAGTCTTGAGATAAATAGTTAATATCTGTTTAACTGGATATTTGCTTCAATTGCGATTTCAGATGTAATTTACGATAGTGCGAGGTGCATGCTTGTTGCCTCATGATTATACGTGTTATACACATTGAAATACATTCTTAATTCTTGTACTTTTTTCTTTTAAACCTATTTTAAAATGCATTGTTAAATCTTGTACGTTACTTCGACTTCACCTCATTAAAAATACAAAACAATCGCACCGTAACCATTAGCTTCACTTGCGCCGCATATAACTAAATGATGGAAACAATAGAGCTTTAAGGCACTTCATATATACTTGTATCTGACATTATAGCGAGAACACAAATGGCTAATATGATGTTACAAGCTACGAATAAGATACAGTTGTGTGCGTGTTTTAGACGAGAAAATAAATCATGAACATTAAAAAGAACTCCTTTAAATTGTTGTTTCATTTGAGATCCTACCCATAAGGTATTCGGTAATATAAAAAATACAGCCTTTCATCGCAAGATCGTGCGGTCTGCTGGTAAAAGTAGTACTCTCCGAGTTTAAAGGCAGAGGCTCGAGTCCCTTATGGGAACGTTTTTTTTCTTCTATTTCATCAAAGATCCTTCCAAAAAGGATTAAGTAAAATAAAAAACTGTAGGCTTTCACCACAAGAACTGGTGGTGTAGTGGTGAAGTCGATGATCTGCGAAGTATACAGTCGATGGTTCAAGCCCTGGATAAACCGAAAAAGAACAACAAGGTAATAAAGTGAGAATTTGTGAGTGTGAGAGGAGTAGTGCGAGAGGGCGAATATGCCCTCGCCTTGGGCGAGGAGTAGACTGAGGGGGGTTCCCTTTCCCCCGGCTTTCCTGACTTTCAAAGCAAGCTTTCTTCAAACATTTAATTGTGTTAGGGGATAGTTGGGGGTATGTGAGGATAGGAAAAAGTAGGGATAGATAGGAGTAAATAGGAGGATAAATAGGGGTAAAGAGGTTTAAATGAGTACAAAAAGACTTAAACATTTTATATACTGTTTTCTCACCTATACCCTTTTCCTTCCCCCGGGAGCCGAGGCCGCCTTCCTTCCCCCGGGAGCCGAGGCCGCCTCCCAATTACTAAGTCTTTTTGTACTAATATACCCCTCATTCACCCTATCTATCCCCTGATTTCTCTAAAGATTAACTTTGATTTGCAAAGATTAATCGGATGCAAATCTCCTCCGAGCAACATTCCTACCATTTTTTTTTATTTTTCTTTTCACCGCCATGAGGAACGTACCATACTGTTTTTGGTACCTCGATCTTGTGCTTGATAGTCCACGATTTTACCACAAGGCTAACTGGTGATTGTTGGAAGCCTACACCAACTTATTCACCATAACCTTACCATATTTTATTAATAACGAAAATTTTCATCTAAAACGAGATTCGAACCTTTGACTGTCGACACATGGGACTAACATCTTGACCACTAGACTGCAAGATCTTCTGCTAAACGGCTGTGGTTATTTCATTTACTTTATCCTTTCCACGAAATTCATAATGAAAACGGTTATGGTAGGATTCGAACCATCGATTTACGACTTGGGAGACAATGGTCTTCGCCACTAGACCCACTGAATCTTTTGTTGAACGACTATGGTTATTTAATTTACTGTATCCTTTCTTCGAAGAATATAATGAAAAACAAGTACACACGGATTCGAAACATCGATTTACCACCTGGGAAACCTTTGTCTATGCCACTGGACTATGTGATCTTGGGCTGAATTGCTATGGTTATTTAATTTACTTTATCCTTTTCACGAAGTTCGTAATGAAAAACGGTTATGGTAGGATTCGAACCATCGATATACCAATTGAGGGACCATTGTCTTCTCCACTAGACTACAATATCTTGTGCAGAACGGTTGTGGTTATTTAATTTACTTTATGTGTTTCAGGTAGTTCATAATGAAAAATGGTTATGGTAGGATTCGAACCTCCAGTTTGGAACCCGGGAGAACATTGCCTCACCACTAGACCAGCAGAACTTGAGGCGAATAACAACACTATTTCATTTTATTAAACCTTTTTTCGAAGGATTCATAATTTATGTAAACTATTTATGATGTCAATCAGTTTATTTTGACTCATTTATGCTCTTATCTAAAAGGCACATAACGGTACGTTATATTCGTAGCTTTAACCTAATATTAATCATTTTGTGTTGACGCTAAAATATCACAGGCATGAAATCCCTTGAGCAAAGGAATTTAATTTACCATAAGCTAGTTATATGTGGCTTAGGTGAAGCTAATGGTCATGGTACGATTGTTTACGATGAATGAAGTCAAGTCTGATTTCACAGGTCGCAAATTAAAATTTCAGGTAAAAAGTATTTCATTTGGTAGATTCATTAGAATGTTTCAAATTTGGAACTAATTTAACAGCAGAAATTGTACTCCATTATATCAGGCAACAGATATTAAATTACTCTAATCTCCGTTAACATAAAAAATATTGTCACGTAAATCGACATTTAGCACGATATTTATGGGCTCGCGATGTATTAACACGACGATGTCTTCACGACTGGGCCAACGGATATTGATATCAACAGCCATATTTTTCTAACTTATCTAAATCTTCTCTTTTACGTCACGATAAAACACTTTTACCATAAAGGATTCATTGCAAGTTGCGAGACCATTGTCGTCACCCCTAGACTTTTTGCTCGGGGGGTGATTGACGGTATTTTTATTTTACTTAAACCTTTTTTTCAAGTTCATAATAAAAAACATTCCTTTCATAATTTAATCCTTCCGCTTAAGCCCGCGGCGAGAAACTATGGCGCCCTAGTCAAACTTGCAAGACGAGCCTCTTTTCTCGAAACAGGACAGGAGAGAACCGATAGATTAGCGTGTTACACAGTGGATGCGACTCCAAAAGCAGAAGGCTTATTGCGTATATGATATTGCTCTTTTTAGTGATTGTGGGATTATTATTCGTTCACTGCGACTGCACGGGGTTTCTTATATATCTCTCCAATAACCTATCTTGATGTAAATACTCGAGAAGGCGAAAAAAGCTTTCGGAAATTCACTCCTCCGCAGGAATTAAACTTGAATATTATTTTTCTCTTTTGACACGATGATTGGGCATGCAGTGACCCAATATTAGTACTAACAGTTATCTGATACGAGAAATTATTATCGCCTAGGCCGTAACTTTGATTTATATACTGCATATTCCTTATAAAGTTTGTTCAACCGACTTTGAAAAACAATTTTTACACAGTCAGCCTGGCCGAAAAATGTAAACATTCAAATAAATTAGTTATAACTGGTTAAATTTTAAAATTAACGTTTAGTTTTGCTTACAAAAAAACCTTCACTATTGGGTGCATAAAAAAATTCAACACTAAATATTCATGATGGTCAATCTTTTGTGTTCGATAATAGAAAGCGGCAAAGGCGATATTAATAGACCTTTTTCATAATGACATCAACCGGGGAAAATCTTATGTTACACGAAGTTTAATTGGCTCCATAGTTTGTGGAGCCAATCAAATTTCGTGTAACACCAGACTTTCCGCGTTTGACGTCATTATAAGAAAGGTCTATTATTGCGTTTTTTTTATACTCCTGTTCTAGTCTGTTTCATCAGTAAAGGAATCTTCAAGTGGTAGACAAATAAATAACCAAAAAATGGTGCTGAAGTAGTTTTGGTCGAAACGTGATGCGTGGGCGTTTAACAATGCATAGATGCAAAATAAGTCATTTTAACTTGCCCTTTTCTGCAATCTGATTGGCTCGAGCAGCAGACGGAATTTGATTTCGGTTCCGATTCTGAGATCTAATCATGGAGCCCAAATTTCTTTTGTCTTGTTTTATTTTTTTAAAAACTTAAATACTTGACAAAACATATCGGTAGAATATTTGTCCCTACATTGAGAACTTATATTCGAGTGCGCGCATGGTGCGAATTAGGTTATATGAAACATACATATTGAAGCGTCACTATAACTATACATATAGTGTGCATCGAGTAGTAAATTGTTTTCACTGATTAATATTTTGAAGGCGTCCGAGTGAGAATGAACTTTTTGCCACCCAGTGATTTCTTGTCCTCATCCAGGAAAACAGACACTGTTGGAATTTTTTATTTGGTATGGCTGGTTTCAGTTGAAACAGTTAAAGCTACACAAAGTAATTAGAAAGAAATCAACGAATCAATAAACAAGCATTTGTTCATTCTTTAATATACATATTAAAACAAAATTAGAAATTCAACTATCTAGTTGTTATTAATTTTAGTAAGTTGTTATTCAGCTATATGAATAAGATTTTAAAATAAAATTTTCACTAAAACAGGGAAGTAGTTCTACTCTGAAGTATCCTATCATGTCCTGCACTCGGGAAAAGGGCCACGTTAAACTAAAAACTGTTTTATTGCCCCCAAAAAACTTAATATTTCCCATTCTTCTCTTGGATATTTCAGATTTTTGTCTTTTATCCCAATATCTTTCTTCTTAATCCATTTAAAAATTATTTTAATGAGTCGTTTTATCACTTACCGTTGGCATTCGTGCCCCTTGCATTTCTGGCATCACCTGCTTTCTTTACACTGCTGATTGCGTCATGAACCTGGGAAAAAGGAGCAAGTAATTTCTTCATGAGAAAAATATATAAACTATTCTTAGTTCGTGCAAGATAAGTTGAATGATTGGTTTTAGAAAATCTAACTGACACGATTCTCCACGGGTTTTAGAGTAAATAATGACTGTGTGATGATAATTCAAATCATACCTTTTTATTTATCAGCACGTGAAAAACGAATATCATTAGGCCTTGGAGAGAGTTAAATATCGCGAAAAGATATTTAAAGAAAATTGCATCACGATTGAACACCAACAAAGCAAACACCCAGGTTAGTCCAAGTATTGGAAGAAGGATGGCTGAACCTTTGACGCCAATTTTTGCTTTCCTCAGCTTTGTGTCAGCCTTTGAATGAGCGGTTCTTATTTGGCTGGATGATAAAGCATTTCTTAACGCCAAAATGAAAATAACCAAGTTGATCTAAAGAAAAAACCATCGCATTCTAAAAGATACAGCGAAAACCTGCATGTGTTAGGAAAGGGGCATAATCTAGAGAGTACTAAATGTGTCAATGGACCAATTTCTGTTCAGATTAATTTAAAACAAGGAATATTCATCATTACAGATGAAAAGAAAATCTCTAAAAGTTTGGTTGTTAAATATTACAAACTGTGAAAAATATAGCGATCAAAATTTAACCCAGGGTTAGCACTAACCTAGCTTTGAAATGAATGACTTGTATTGCGGTAAAGTAAAACGATAATATAACCATTGTGACCACTAGCATCCAATTCTGACAAAATTTCTCACTCATGCAAGTATTCAAGAAAGTAATTGTCGAACATCTTTTAATAGAGTTCACATTCACTTCCTTATAGGAGCAGTATACAAAATACCAATCTTCATCGTGTTGTACAGTTTTGTTGTGTTGACCACAACATAAGATTGAATCACATCACCAATAAAACAGCATTTTGCATTTAATAAGATCCAGTGAACTCTATATATATGGAAGGCTCGCTCCAGTTCAAAGTGTGAAGCCAAACATGGCGGATCATGAAGGCTGCTTGGGTACCGAACCAGTCCTCCACGAAGCATAAAATGCGCGAACCGCGCGTGGAAATTAAAAACACGAATTATAAAACTATGACGAAAAATAAAAAAGCTAACATTTCGGACGTTACAAAGTTTTAAAATTACGAAGTTTTTAAAAATGAATCCATACAATTTGTTACAACCTTACATGGCAATGTTATTCTTTCTAGAGAGGTAACTTATGCCGTATATTTGTGTTGTGTTTACAAAACTGACCGAGTTCAACTCCTACACGTTGCCGCCATTTTGAATTTTAACAGCTCGTGCGTGGAGGTCTGGTTCGGTACCCAAGCAGCCTTCATGATCCGCCATGTTTGGCTTCACTTTTTGATTACGCAATGTACTAGAGCGAGCCTTTCATATATATATAGAGTTCACTGATAAGATCTGTGAAAAGCATGGATAAGAATATCTTGCGAGTATACCTAAACGATGATTGTTTTTTAATCGTTTTTATCAGGAATATATACTGTGTGGAGAATTGCCTCTTATACTCACCAGTAAGACCACGACTATCGTACAGACAAATGTCCAAAACAACGGACCATCACCACGGCACCAGCAGGCATGATCGGTTATAAAATCTTTTCGATCATTTGCACCGACTAATACAGGAACAAGAACTATCGGAACTCCTAAACATGAATAACCAATAGCATTATTGAACAAAAGTATTCAGCAAAACGTAGTTTTGTTAGACTATACATATTAATTTATCTGAGGTCTAAAACCTAACCTTTTTTTGTAGGAGAGATCGCGAAATTTAAGATTAGAGTCCATTTCGGTGAAGGCCAAGACGAAAATTCTATTTTGCGATCAGATGACTACGTAACACTTTGAAATAAGTTTCAAAATTAGGGGGACGGCGATACACCCGTCGTTTTCAAACTGCCCATCATTTTTAAACCCGATTGGTCAAAACTAATGTCGTGTCAAATTGCCGCCCACCTCTAGACTGTCCGACACCTTTGACCGAGGTTAAAAGCGATAAAATTGCGTAAAATACATTTACCAATGAATTGGATTTTGAAAACAATAAAAAAACCACAGCTTACCCCAACCAATCGCGTAGAAGGCTTTCAGGTGTTTACCTCCCAAAGCCAAACCCGAATACACGTTTACGAGTTGTAGATAAATGATGAATCCTTCGCAAAACATCCAGCAAAAAATAGCGAGTATGAAGAAATAAAGTAGTATGGAGATAACTATACAAAATGTCTAAAAGTGAAAAAAACAGGATTGATGCATGATAGTTTACATTGCCTGCAAACAGGTTCTGCATAAATGCGCTCACTTTGCCAAATGAAAAAAAATATTTAGAACTGAAGGAACCTCATTTTTCTGCGCTGGTCCAGCCACGATAGCAAATATATCCGTCATTCCAATCGCAATACAGAGGTTTAAGAGAACATGGGATGGAATATTTGTCTTGGAGTTCTTATGAAGACTCTTCCAGAGTAAAGCGTATGTTGCTATTGTTAGCAACACTCCAACCAATGATATTGAACAGCCAATGGTGGATATTACCTCCAAAGCCTTTCTCTCAGCTTTGCTTAGCTTAAAGAGATAAATTTACATGATAAATATGTGACCTTCCACGGGAAAACGTACGTTAACGATATTTCGTTGAAACGGCAAAACGAACGGATAACGAACGGGTAGTGAACGATCTGTAATAACGTTTCAACGAACCCAAAAAACGTTTTGACGAATTCAGCTAAAAATGTGAACGTTTAAAGTCGAGAATACGAACGGATAAATAAACGTTCAATCTGAAGCCGTTTGAACGATTTATGTTTATGAACGGTTTTAACGAATTAGTCTGAACGCCTGTTGCGCGTATGATTGACGCAAGATATTATTGACTAATTAAAAGAATAGGAAATATTTTCAAACACATAACATGTGTTGGCGCAAGTATGCGTGTACATATAAATAGCTATACCTTCATTTGAATGTTTAACTAAATTTATTAGCTAAACTACCTAAATCACTTTATTTTATACTTTATATACATATATACATTTGCATTTTGCATCAAAATTCGGGTTTATTAATCGTTAGAAATTCTTCAGTTATTAGTACAAATTATCATCGTTACGTCAAATTAATCAATGCATCATCTGCAACTATACCCATCAAAATATTCAGCGCGTGTTTATTTGCAACAACGTAACAGATTTTGTAAATCTCTCCACGGACAAACTATATGTATGGGTGGTTAAGGACATATAAACACATCATGCATGCATCCGTTTTATTAACACGGCTCTAAACCGAGAGTAAACGAAGATTGCCATAAATGGCCTGCATGGCTTCGATAATAATATCATAGGCAATGTCATTGGTCACCGTCTAAGTTTCGTTGAGTTTCAGCTACTGGATACATATTTTATGTTAAACTAAACACAAGAGATTCCATTGTACACTATTGCTTATACTCTTTGACGCGCAAAAGACTAAATTAATTATCGCAAGGATCAAGTTGTTTACAGATGATAACCAGACATTAATAACAGTTATACAGAATATCGCATACGCAAAGCTCGTTTGTATACGAACCAGCGTAGTAACGTGTGCTTGCATGCTGTCAAAACTTATTTGGTATAAATAGCCTACTACATTAAATATCCCAACCATTTATGCACGTGAAAATCCACATTTCAATTTCAGCAATGCATTGCGCGGTAATAAAATATTTAAAATATAAGCTTGGATATTTACCTAGTGCTCACAATATGTTTCGTGCGGCAATAGCCTCTAGCTGCGGTCAAGCTTGTCGCGGAATGTCGCCTATACACAGTACTGTCAGTAGCAACTAAGGGCATCATTATACCTTAAGAATATTTAAAAATTTGATAATAATCTATTTTATCCACTGCATGCACCATCGCCATATTTTCTTCGCAAAGCTAAAGCTGCAATGTCCCTATTTCTGCCGCCATATTTTTTCATGTAAGTGATATGTTTTGTGACCATACGATCACATATGCATGTGTTATGACTTATGAACCAGTATATCGCTAATTAATACTTGTGATATTAAATTAGTTAACTAAATTCCTGGTGGTCATATTCATCAGGAAATATTTTATTTTCCCCAAATATTCGACCATCTACATAGGTAACTGTGTAAATACCTATGCTACCTGCATGAGCCTAACAATAGTGACCTAAAGAAATAGAACGCGCGTAAATTAATGGGATAATTTTCGAAATCTTCATTTCAAACCACCGCAATCCCGAAGGTCCGAATTCAGTTCCGCCCTGCAAAACAACTTAATACTCAACCCCGGCAGCAAGAAAAGATTGCACAGTATTTTCACTAAAGCATATAGCAATAGCAGACGCCCATATAGAACCGGGTTTTTAAATCACAAAGAGTGCAAATAATTTTTTCTGCAAAGCATATAGCAATGCTGCCGCCCATATAGAAACGACAATGCCAAATGCATGCACAGGGGAGTTTATACTCACCATTTTAAGAAACAAACGATCCTCAACATCTTCGAGACATCTACTTGTGACACAATTTGTGCCTCCTGCTTACAGTAAAATTAACTAATCAAGATTATTTAAGACATGCATGAAAGCATTAATCCATTTTGTCTGGCGAAATCTTTTTATATCATATAATTATATATATTTCGAGGTAGCATCTACCCCTTTTTTATGAAAAATGTCAGCAAAGTTTGTAAACAATTGTTGTTTCAATGTAAGTAAATGCATCCTATAAATTGTAACCACCACGGCCCAAGCTAACACTTTTCTAACCTCAGCCAAGCCTTTTCAAGGTCTGGCAACCTTTCATGTCATGTTTATTCGGAATGATTGGATGATCGTGGCCCAACTTGATTCCACCGGCCATGATAAGCAATCTAAAGAGTTATATTGCAGTGCGCATTTATATCCGAATACATTTTACTCGCGTTAACATATACATAAAATGCAATTGAGAACGTCTTGTTATATACAATTGCATGATCATCTATATATGAAATCTTACTTCGAATGCGTGTCATATTTCGATATATATGCATGGTCAATAGAGAGCTACAGTTTAGCCAAGCAAATACACTCAAGGGAAAAAAAACTTTAGTTTAAATCGAAGAACCGTTATACGAATTCTGTTGATGATTTCATCAATAAGCCTGATTTCAATGCTTGGAGGAAAATAATTGCAAGCGCGCCTAATAAAGTGGCCAAGTCATGACTTTTCTTATATCATAGCTAATGTTTCATTTAGTGTTCATACCTGGTATTAACCTTTATATATGCTTGCGTTAAAACGCCTTGACTTCTCCATAGATGCTAATATCCTGCAAATATTTGGGACAGTCTTCGCGAAATTATTGGTAAAGATCTTTACCCGCGCGCTCATGCACGCATAAACAGTTGACAGGCGCCATTTCAAATTTGCTCATTTTGCCGCTCTAGCTGGCAGGCTTCAAGGTGCAATGACCATGCATAATTGCAATTTAATATCCGGAATGTAATTTCTAATCAAGGGAGCCCAAATCAAAATTAGTGAAAATTTTCCTGTTGCCCAACAGCTGATATGTTGTCCAAGCAAGATAAATTCCAATGCTCCTTTTCTGATGAATTATATATAGCGAAATATATGTGGCAAAATATCTGAAAGGTCAAACTTAAATGTTTGTAAACGTTAGCTTGGCAACTTGCCCTTTGGGCTTGTGTCAGCCCAGTTGTGCGCAATGAAGGACTGCACGCACTTTAAAACATAGCGCAAAACTCAACCTCACAAAACACGGAATTTTTTTTGTAATAAAAAGTCACACAATGAACATCATTGATATAGGTTCATTACTCTCATACAGTCTCTATCATTTATACGATTTGAGCCTTTTCCGCGTTCCACGTTTCCGATTCGAGGAGCAAGTCGAGAGAAATCAAATTACAACCAAAATATACATGGGGAGTGAATTGTGCTGAATGTGCATATATCAATATATATATGAAGTTTTTTTTGTGAATTAAGAGTCGAAATAAATATTACAATGCATGAGTTATATTTATGCCATATATAAGTTATATTTATGCAATTGCCACCGTTCAACATGCCAGCAACGATCGAGCCAGATGGCTTAGATCTGGGGAGACAAAGATACCTTTTTAAGGAAATAAGACAATTTTGTAAGCGGGGCACTGAGGATCTTGTTGCTCCGGCTCTAGTTTTAGACTAGATGCACCTACATATTTAAATTGCTATATTCATGCAGTGGCGTAACGAACAGAGCCAAGGATGGGGTCTTGAAGTATACTTGGTACTGCGGGGTCCCTTAATTCGCTGTTTGTCATAAATCACGTTTTGCTTATACTATGATGTTTCGTTATCTATCCTGGCCTCCAATAAATGAGGATCTCTTAGTTCTTGTCGTAACCCTACCGAACGCGCGTTAGGTCACTGTATTTATGTCTTCAAATATTACCTAGGGTATTTCAATTGTTGTATAATTTGTAGCTATCTCAGACTGCATTAAAGACAACGAATTTCAAGCTGAAAGGTCTGTCCTAGGATGCGGTTCTTAATTTTGAATAGATTTTAATCAGTAGCTGCTTCGTACGGAGGCCAGATAAGTTTATCAGATGTAAATAAATTAGCTATATATACACATGGTTTAAAAGTACGATATTAATATGTAACACGCAAAATCCCTCAATTCATTTTAAAATCTGGTTTTGTCTGTTTACATACATTTAGAGACTTCCGACAATTATGCAACTTAATTAGCACCTTGCCAAGGCATATTATGGCTCGTAATGCTAATATATGGCTTGCGAGTTGTTTGGGTGCGCGGTGAAATTTGGCTTATGGAAGCTACAGAAGTATAGTAAAGCACAAATTGTAACCATTTAGTGCATTACCGAAATTCAAAAAACGATAATTTTTTGAAAGAAAGCTTAAGACGTGAAATTTGACGCTAATGGAATAATTGCATGCACTGAATCTTAATAGCCTTCTGTCTGCATGACGCTAAGCATAAACCATAACATGAAGCGCACAAAATAGCATTCGATTAGGCTAAATTGATAGAACCCCACTATTTCCTTTACAAGCCTTCTATACTAAGGAACTGAATACGTTTCTGGGAGTATTTCTGTGTAGCACATTCTGCGCTTCTTCTACAAAGTTGTAGCATTGCAAATGTTTAATCTAATATGTTGAACCAAATCCAATGCGATTGAACGAAATTCCGGCAAACGTTTCAACGAACAGTAAATCAAACGGTTGAACGCTTTCGGACCAATTTTCAAACGTTTTTTCCTAAGCGTTCGAACGGGCAATTTCGAACGATGAACGATCTCGAAAATCGTTTCAACGAACGCTTCAAGCGTTTGAACGGCAAACGAACGGATAACGAACGATATTTTCGAACGAACGAAATAGCGTTAACGTATGTTTTCCCGTGGAAGGTCACATATATGGAAAGAAATACACAATTTTAATGTTCATGAGTTGAATGCAAAGTCTAGGAAGATTCTGTGTGGATGTAATTTTTAACTTTAGGGAAAAATTGTTCACCGTTGCATCTGGTCAAATTCGTGCGCCAAATCTACAAATACTTAGGCGATAGGGCATCGGGGGCTGGGATTTCGAGTTAAATCTCTATATTCATTTGAATCTTACCAAATTTCTTGAAATGTCAATTGTAGCAAATGCTGTGAGGTGGTTACATTCACATATCGAGCGATTTCTGCCTGACTGGTCTTCGACTCTAATACAACCATCTGTCTTCCATCTATTTTCACGTGACTCTGGTATCCAGTATGCGCATTTTCCATCATCATTCTGAAAGTTAAAAATCAGGATCTCATCAAAAAGGTTATTTCCTGTGATTTTATTACGTCATATTATCTGGTTAATTACAAGTAATGACGATATATCGTTGAATTTTATATGGCTTTTCACAATCCTCCATTTCCATTGGTTGACGAGCGGACCGCCAAACCTATATGCGAACCATTGTCCGTATATTCTGTATCTGGACCAGTATCCCGGATGTCTCAAGCAGCTCAACCAAATAATAAACCGATTGTTAACCTCGCTTGTTCGGTCTGTACTGTGAAATATCAAACCGACTTAACCGAGGTTTTTTCGCAGGGATTTTGGCGACCATTTAACTTTAAAACTTATTTTTTCACCTTTCCATTTGTGTCCCAAATGATCTGCACAGGCTGGGTAAACTTTAGCATCTTTGACTGAGGTCGGACACTTGCAGTAATTATCTTACTGTCTACTTTCACATAATCATGGCTGGTGTAAAATTTCTCTCCAAGAAAGGAATTTAATGTATTGTACCAAACGACCACAGCAAGACTTCCAGATTCTTTAGGGATTGCATCAGACGAGATGATGAAGGATGCATTGGGGAAATTTGAACGTCTGTCCTCAAGCGACAATTTGCCTGTGTTTTCCATGTATCTGACTCGTAACTGCACGTTTGAAGCGTTTTGACTAATGGAACCATTCGTGTTGTTTCTTATTTCCTCTCCATATTGGAGTCCGTAATTTTCCAACGTTGTTACAAGATCTGGAATGACATTTCTATCCTAAAATAAGAATATTTACAGTTGAGAAGAAAAATCGACTTTCCACTAGGTGATAACGACGACAAAAGCAACCCTAAAATCTATCAGGAACAATCAGGATGGCGTGTATGACATTTGCATATAGAAGATGCTGCGAGAGCCTTGTTAACACAAAAAATACAAGTTCAAACTGGTATTGCTCGATAATAAAGTATTTTCGTTAATCTGTTGTCCATTTCAACAGCAAACTCACCGAAATATTTTTCCATGATTTATCATTTCTCTGATCCAATATATTGCTGGAAGGCTCTAATATTCTAAGGCTTCCATCAGAAATATGTAAGTTTACGATCTTTTGAAGTATTTCAACCGTGCCATTAAGAATTTGTTTGTCAGCGCCATTTTCTCCTCCCGCTACTTTATCAAGATCTGTGAATTTTGTCAGTTCGTTTATGATCTCTTGTGCACGTTCTCTCCGTACTTCATCTGATATATTCTTATTATAAAGTTCATCCGCCTAAAAAATTGAATTACATAGGTTAGAAAAAATGGGATTTTAGAGGATTTTACAGTACGTTTTACTTGTCTAACACAGTAATAGTACTTGCGTACCACTGCTTTCTTTCATAGTTAGTGCATGGCCGAAATATGGAAATTGCTGTCAAGTACGCACAGGGAACACGGGCCAAACCATGCAAAAAAGCAGATGACAGAATTCGACTACAATATTGTGTGTTGTCATTAGTGTGTGTTGTCATCTAAAAGACTTATTCAAAAAAGCGAAAGACTGAGAAAGGCGAGACTAAAAGTAAAACCGAAACTACAGTATGCATTAGCCATACAACCACAGAAGTGTGTAATAAAAAGGGAAATATGTGTCTAAATTAGCTTCCCCTACTACTGATTTATATAGAAAATACATCTTACCTGATTGTTTAGTTTTCCAATCTCAGCAATGATTTTCGATTGTGTTATCATGCCTAAATAGTTATATGTTGAACTCAGCACTTTAATAAAGATCACTTATTGACCTCATGCATTTGTTAGGCGGTGGAAATGATTTTTTTAGTCTCCGCGTATTTCGAGAGATCCTTCATTCTATGTTATACTTGAATCGAAATATGGAATTATTAACACATCACAAATTGGCTAAGAATAATTGTACAAAACTATTGCTTCTGCGGAAGTTGACAAATGGCAATAATTCCGATTAGTTAAAGTGGAAGTGAAGTCCGTATGACGGTTTGTTTACATTTTGAACTTCACTATTTTTTAAAATACGATGTGCTGTCTGAATATCTCAAACCATTTAGGTTCGTTACGCTTCTAAATCAATATGAACTAGAGTTTATGTTAAGAAAAAATAAGAAGCATGCGAAATTTAGGCAATTTTCACATCAGAGGGTCCTCACTTATTATGAGCAGAACCTATGCGCAGAACGGACTTGACCTCCACTTTAAGAGTGCCAACAAAATTCACTCCTATCAATGCATCTTACGTTTTTGACATACGAAGGGAAGCCTATTAGAACATGCCACATCATTCCACTTTCCATCTTTTTGCATTTCAACACAGTCTTCACTTCCTCCCAAATTATTTGGTTCGCCTTGGTCCCAATTCCTATAAGTTGCTGGGTGGTTATCAGGATAACACCACCAGCCACCACATCTCTTCAAACCAATCACAATTACTATTCCCTCTGAATGTTGAATCGATAAAATCGTTAACATCATCTCCGTCAATACGGAGAAATTGGGCGCCCATTTTTTTGCATTCATCATTTGCATCGTTCCAGTTCAACGAAAGGTAGGGTTCGGAAGGCCGAAAGTACGTGTAACAAAAATCAGAGTTTTCCTTCTCATCCGTACACACTATAGAGAAAAGAAGATCTTACACAATAATTTTGAGATAAAAAATTAGTAGATAAGTACAATCGCTAATTCCTATAACGCAGAACCTTTTTTCAGCAAGAAAATTTCAGAAAATTTCAGCGATTGAGTTTCAAATTTCTTGTAGAGAAAACTTTATGAAAGAAAGTGTGCGAGGAAAAGGGCAAATTGAGCAAATTACGACTGGTCGAACGTCTTTCATGATTTCATGATACATATGCCAATAAAACATCATATCCTTGGAATAAAATTACTAATACAAAGCTTTCTACATTATCAGACGGCTTCTATAACCGAACTTTTAGGTACGTGAAGACGCAAATGCCCAAGAGGTCTCGTTGTAAGCTATACAATTCGCGAAAAATATATGAAATGTTGCAAACATTAAAAATCGCAGGATTGGAAGCAGTAATATTTTTACAAATTAATACTGTTCGTCTTTTCTGCTGCAGTCAAAGGTAGTCTGTACACAGTACGTGTTTGAAAATATCTCCTGAAATTTGCATGAATATTCACAGACACTCTTTATATGCACATGCTGAGCTAATCATGTTGCTAAATATGGCTGGTTTTTATATCACATAATTTGCCGTTTTTCAGATGTCGTAATTCGTTGTAATTCGGTGTTGTATGAAAACCGAATTACAACAAATTGAAAACGAATGACGACATGTGAATTAAAATGGTATTTCCTTAATATTTGGCCAAGTTATCGTTTTTTACGCCTGTATTCAAAAAGCTCACTCACACTCATACTCATTGAGTGTGACATATAAATTTCGTTAATGCTGATGAGTGAGAAAGTTTTTTTCTGAATAGATGAAAGATACAAGGTAAATCACTGAAAATCAAGCCCTTACTTGGCAGGAAATACCGTTATTGAAATTTTATGAGAAGATTAAGATCTCCCACTCAATAAGTTTGAGTGTGAGTGAGCTTTTAGAATACAGGCGTTAGTGTCAAATAATTATTCATGCTTAGCATCAAGATCATGGAAATCGAATGTGTCATGCAGTTGCCTATTGACCCGTGTATCAAGACAGGGACGGGACACCAACGATATACTTACAAACAGGCAATCGGGATTAATAATTCAAGAACAACACTGAAATAGTTGCAGCTAGATCGATACGGCTTAAGAGGGTATAAAAATAATTACATAACAAATGAGATATATATGCGATTTAGTTACGCGAATAATTTATATCAAATATAGCGGATATTGACAGCAATGAAGCTTTGCCACACAACAACTGTCAATCAGTCTTACCTTGGCAGAAAAACGAGTTGAAACAAACTAGAAATATGATGAAAATTAGCAGAAATCGGTGTTTAACTCCCATTTTTCATCTGATGTGTGCAAACTTCCCTACTTTGCTTCAAACAAAGGCTGCTTGAGAGTCATCGAACCGAGACCAGAAGGTTTTTTAAATCACAAAGAAAACAATCTAGGACTCGAAATACTGCACAGCAATATTGATTGCAGGAAAGAAGTAATCGTTATAAAGGACATGTACAGTTGCCTGAATCTGATACTCAAGATTCTGTATATATTATACAGAATATTGTTATGAAACAGGAAGAGAATATTTAGGAATATTTCACTTCCTTTATACCCCCTGTATACAAACACATTCATTAATTTGTAGTCACGTATCTGCTATTGTCATTGAATGCTATTGTCTTCCATATACAGGAATCTTAAGAATGATCGAAAGGCACTTAAACGTAGCTAATATGCTAATCATACAGGGTGTCTAAAAAACGCAACCACTTAAATATGCAAGAATATTAATATTGTTCGGGTTTGCACCACAGTTCAGCTTAGGGGCTGTTTACATGAGCCTGGTTACCCGAGATTCAACGAAGCGTGAGATGATTTTGAGGTATTGAACTGAGCAGATAACATGATCCTGGCAGTCGTATAATGACCACAACAATAGCATGTGCGTTTTTGGTGTCATAAAGACTTTTTTCAATACCTCAAAGTCCTCTGCCGCTTCGTTGAATCTCGGGTAACCGGGCTCATGTAAACAGCCCCTAAAATGACTTTTAGCATTTTAAATGAAAGATTAAGAGCCATTTTCAATTCCCAGAGGTGCACTTTAGAGCTGTATTAATGTTCTTGCATATTTAAGTGGTTATGTTTTTTTTGAGACACCCTGTAGAACTGTATTAATGTCTTGCATATTTAAGGTTGCGTTTCTTTTGAGACACCCTGTATATGTATACTACGTAGAAGGCGACTAAGTGGTTCCGTAAAACCCCCAATAGGCTGGTATTCAAGGTGTTTATGGGCCTCCACAGACTAGGCATTTAGTTGTCGACAACTATTTATGATCGACAACTAAAAGCTATCAACAACCAAATAAGTCCGATAAAGGATTCCACACACTGGAGCTCAAATGCTGATTTAGCAAACAAAATAGCGTGGAGATTGAAAGTATAGTCGACAACTAAAACAAAAATTTTCACACACTGGAAAAATGCCATAAAGTGAGACCGTCGACAACTATTAGTTGTTCGAAAGGGAAACTGCTTAGTTGTCGACAGCTAATAACAACTTGCGCGACAGACTTCGTTTTTTAGTTGTCGATAACTTTTAGTTGCCGATCACAAATAGTTGTCGGCAACTAAATCCGTAGTCTGTGGAGGCCCTGTAACAATTTCACAACGACGCACTTTTCAAATATAAAAATACATTCCAGGCTTGAATCTTGATTTCACTATTTATTAAGCCCCCTACACTCAAACAAGTTTTCCTTGTCAATTTTTGTTTGCTCGCGTGCACGAAAAAAATGAAAAACTTTCCTTGACGAAATGTGTCTTGTTTAAAAGCTACCCATGCTAACTTTTCTACAAGGATTAAGCATCTACGTCGTTTCAGTTCAAGCGAAGTTTGTGATCGGAAGGCGGGATACTGAAGGAAAAGAAAAGCTACACTTAGGGCGCTGTCTTTTAGAGCAGCCAAAATTATCAAACCGATTATATGTAAGGGTCCTTTCGCCCCGAGTAGCCTTTTATCTAATGCGAGGGATTGTATACCTTGTAACTATACTAAAACAATCATTCGCCTTAGGCTCGCTGAATAAAAACCTTGGAATAAGCAGCAATATTCGACACGCCTCCCTTAGCTGAATAATTATTAAATAAATATTCGTCAGATATGTCAAGGTGAACTTTCATTTTTTGAAGCAAATAAATTCAATCCTGAAATGACATTGTGAGAACTATAGGCCTCAGATATGTTAAAATGTGCTATCCTTCAGTAACTAATATCAATAATATCATAACATGGTCAAACCTAGTTGCTTTTGAAAAATCAAAAATTCGTAAAAATCGCCCGCGTTGGCGACGGTGTGTCTCGGCGTTGATGCTTAAAAGGTAAACATTTTGTTCGCGGCGCCCGTTTAATTATTGAAAGCTTTTTTCGCCATTGAGAGGGAGGGGAGAAAACTACGTGATCTGTTAAAAAACATGCATCGGCTTTCATCGTTATTACATAATCTTTCAAACTATGTAGCTAAAGAAACTAAAAAAACTAAATTAGTGTTTAGTTTCATTTTTAGGGTCCAGATTCGGGTATAATTTAAAGGATAAAAGCAAAGTCTCAGCGGGTATAATTACAAATGGCGTAAATTCTATATTAAAGTATTGCATATCAAACATATTTAATTATTTTAACAACTGACTGAAATCCTGCCTTGGCAGACGCATCTTTCCAAACGCATTTTTTTTTGCTTTGTGACAGGGCTTGCTTGTACGGCTTCTTCGTAGACCAATGGATTTCTATGCAATAAAATCTTAAACGCACTAAAACCACAAAGGACTCGACATAATTGTGTTGCAGGAAAACCGGCGGTTATTGGTTCGAAAATTAGTTAATTGTTCTTCTGAGAGACTGAGAGTTGTGTACAGCTGTACTGTAAAATGCAACGCAGCTTTTCAGGTTTAGTTTTAAAACGTGTCACGTTTCATTCCACTGTATAAAAATTATTAACTTTTTTTTAGTTATACAATAAACTTGACACTCATAAACGTAGCTAACCTATCTTAATGTAAATACTCGAGAAGGCTAAAAGGGCTTTCGGAAATTCACTCACAATATTATTATTTTCTTCTCTTTTTATACACCATTGCATGATTGGGAATGCAGTGACCCAATATTAAGGCTAAATGTTTCATTGCTTCGAGAAATTATTATCGCCTAGGCTGTAACTTTGGTTTATAGCTATACTGCTCATTGCCTATAAAGTTTGTTAAACCACTTTGAAAAACAATTTTTACACAGCTAGCCTGGCCGATCGACAAATGTAAACATTCAAATAGGGTTTGTTATAACTGGTTAAATTGTAAAATTACATTTAGTCTTGCTTAGAGAAAATCTTTTACTACTGGGTGCATAAAAAATCACAACACTGAATATTCATGAAGATCAATCGTTTGTGCTTGTCGCTATTTAGACCTTCCTGTGCGCGCAGGGTGCGAATTAGGTTATATGAAACATACATATTAAAACGTCAACATAACTATATAAAATGTGCATCGAGTAATAAATTGTTTCCACTGACTAAGATTTTAAAGGAGTGAGAATAAACTTTTCGCCATCCAGTGATTTGTTGTCCTGTTCCACGAAAACAGAAACTGTTGGAATTTTTGATTTGGTAGGGCTGGTTTCAGTTGTTGCAACAGTTAAAGCTACACAAAGTAATGAGAAAGAAATGACCGAATCAATAACGAAGCATCTGTTCATTCATTAATACATCTATTGAAACAAAATTTAAAATTTAACTGTCTATAGTTGTAATTAATTTTAGCAAGTTGGTATTCAGCTATATATGAATAAGAGTTTAAAAAAAACGCGTTTAATTAAAAAACGAAGTAGTTCCATCCTGAAGTATCCTATCATGTCCTGCACTCAAAAAACTGTTATCCCGTTATCCAAAAAACTGTTTATTGCCCGAAAAAGCTTAATTAATGTTACTTATTCTTCTCTTTGTATTTCAGATTTTTTCTCTTATCCCAATATCTTTCTTCTTAGTTCATTTAAATTTATTTTAATGCGTCGTTTTATTACTTACCGACATTGGCATTGGTGTCCCTTGCATTTCTGGCTTTCTTTACACTGCTAATTGCGTCATGAACCTGGAAAAAAGTAGCAAGTAATTTCTTCATGCGAAAAAGGTATAAATTATTTTTATTTTTAGGTTGAACGCACGCGCACTATGGCGTAAAGACGCTAAAAAAATAGTGCTCCGTGACATTTGAAATTTTTACACAATTACTGCTAAATTTTTAGAAACATTATTGCGTTATTACTTAAGTAAGGATATCTTTAAAACAACGTTGGTGTTATTTTTTGTTAACTTGGTGTTTTCGCGCATTTTGTGACTTTATCAAGATTTGGACATCGAACATTGGTCATTGGAGTGGTTACGCGTTCATTGCTTTTAGCGTGAATAATTTCCAGGGCTACTTCAACTGTGAATTCTGTGAGTTCGAATTGGTTATATTATATATATTTTTGGAACTTTTACGCAAATATTTTGCTATTTCTCGAGTTTGGACCGTTAAATTATATTTGCGAACGTTATTCCGTTAACCGCGTGCTACGTGATTTGGTAAATTGGTTGGTGACGAAGCACGCTAATTAGAAACTATGCCGCAAGAAAGCAAAGACGGAGAGCGCGCATTTCAATGTAATTTGTGCCCGAGACAATTTGGTTCGGAACGAGGACGGTCGCTACATTTAAATTCATGCAGGAAAAAACACGCAACTGGTGGAGCGAGTCAACAAGATGGACAAACATCAAGTATGCCTGGTTCTATTGTTGTCGATCCGGTTACTCCCTCAAGTTCTCAAAATAGCGGATCACCATGTGTTTGGGGCAGCCTCACTAAAGACGATCTAAAGCAAGTTGTTAACGCAGCCTATGAAGAGGTGGTTTTTTGGCGCAAAAATCTGTTTATGTTGCCGAGTGGAGCTGCTGGAAAGTCATACGTCAGGGAACTGGAGAGACTTGTTAACGCTTGGAACAGTAACTCGGAGATCTTGCATGATATTTCTTTAAAACTTACTATGATCATGCCTGCTCTTCTCTTACAAAAACCGAGTTTCAAATCGAGATCGAAAGACCATGTGACTTGTCTGTCTCGGCGCATGGCTTTGTGGCAACAAGGTAACTTTGATGGGTTACTTCGGGAATGCAGAACCATCCAGTCGACACTACTGGCTACTAGAAAGGTTTCGAATGAACAGCTTTCCAAGACCTTCGCTAGTCTCATGTTTCGTGGCAAAGTGAACGCAGCTCTACGTTTGTTGGATGAACAATCATGTGGTGGAGTTCTTCCTCTTAATGACGCTGTGTACAAGGACCTCTTGCAGAAACATCCACCTGCACAACCTGAGGATCATTCCGTCATGATTGATGGTGAAATTCCATATGTCGATCCATCGTTATTCGCCAACATCGACGAGGCAGCCATAGCAAAAGCAGCATTGAGGACTCAAGGTGCTGCTGGTCCTTCAGGTCTTGACGCACTTGGATGGCGGCATATTTTGGTGTCTCGCAACTATGGAGATGCTGGCAAAGATCTACGATCCGCAATAGCGTTAATGGCGAGAACACTTGCAACCCAGAAGGTCGTTATTGGAGCAGATCAGACCACCAGCTTAGAGACCTTCTTAGCGTGTCGCTTAATACCTCTGGACAAGAACCCTGGTGTCAGACCGATTGGGATTGGAGAGGTTCTACGACGGATAATTGGAAAATCAATTGTCTTTGCCATTAAACCACAAATCATGGATAGCGCAGGAGACTTGCAGCTATGTGCAGGACAACAATCAGGCTGCGAGGCTGCTGTTCACGCCATGTCGAAGATTTTTGAAGAAGAAGAAACAGACGCTGTCTTACTGGTAGACGCCACCAATGCGTTCAATTCCATCAACCGCAAGATCATGTTACATAACATTCAGTACATTTGTCCTGCAATGGCTGTTTATACGTTCAATTGTTATGTAACAGCTTCAAGATTGTTCGTGCAAGGTGGTAAAGAAATTGCATCAGCTGAAGGTACCACGCAAGGTGATCCGTTAGCCATGCCGTTATACGCCGTCGCCATTACTCCACTCCTGCTCATGATTAAATCTGGTGAAGCTAGTGATGTAAGGCATGTTGCGTACGCGGATGACCTTAGTGGGGCAGGTAAGCTAATGCAACTGCGTGCCTGGTGGGAGAAGATTGCCGTGCATGGTCCGAGTCTTGGTTACTACCCGCGAGCTGATAAATCCTGGTTGATTGTGAAGCCACACCTGGAGCAGACTGCCATTGAGATCTTCGCGGAACTATGTACGAATTTCAAGTGAAGGGATAAGTACTTGGAGGATATCTTGGATCGGATGACGGAAAAGATAAGTATATTAGTTCTTTAGTTAGTAATGGTGCCAGCAAACTTCACGTTTTGAGTGAAATTGCCAAATTCCAACCCCAAGCAGCATACACGGCGTTTGTCTCGGGTTTTCGGCACAGATTTACTTACCACATTCGTGCCGTTCCAGGTATCAAGACCGCGATGCAGCTTGTTGACGACACCATCAACCTGAAGCTCCTTCCTGCGCCCTCGATAACCGTAACTTGTCCATCCATGAGCGACAATTGGTTTCGCTTCCAGCTCGTATGGGAGGTCTTGGTATTCCGATCTTTAACGACATCTGTGATGAAGAACATTTGAACTCCACAACCATCTGTCATCTTCTCTCAAGTAGAATCATCCACCAGAATGGTACACCATCAGCAGAACATGGAGATTCCATCCACGATCTTCGCCGTGAGATTGCAAAACAACGACAAGCTAGGAACTCGTTGCTGCTACAGAACTTGAGATCGAGCATGAGTGAAGAGCAGATTCGAGCAAATGACCTCGCCCAGTTGAAAGGATCCTCAGCTTGGCTAACTGCTCTGCCACTTGCTGAAGAGGGCTACATCTTGACCAAGCGTGAGTTCTTTGATGCAATCTACATGCGTTATCGATGGCCTTTGAAACGCCTTCCATCTTTCTGCGCTTGTGGAAAATCGTTCACGGTAGATCATGCCCTGTCGTGCCTGAAAGGAGGTTTTATCCATCGAAGACATAATGAGATCCGTGATCTACTTGCTGCTGCTATCGATGACGTTGCTTACGATGTTTCAATTGAACCTGCTCTTGCTCCTTTGACTGGCGAGGTTCTTCCATCCAGTGCTAACTCAGCCGATGACGCCAGAGTGGACATTGCTGCGAGAGGTTTCTGGCAGAGATGTGAAAAGGCATTTTTTGATGTAAGGGTGTTTAACCCATACGCCTCTACACATCGACGCCAGACGTTGAGCAGCTCGTTTAAAGCCAACGAACGGGAAAAGAAGCGACATTACAACCAACGGATTGTTGAGGTCGAGCATGGCTCCTTCACACCGGTCGTCTTCAGCGCCTTTGGCGGATGCGGAAGAGAGACCCAACATTTTCTTTCCTTCCTGGGTGCGAAGCTGGCTGACAAGAAGAATCATTCTCCATCTATGGTGGTTAGCTGGTTACGACGAAAGATCGCCTTTGCTTTGCTTAGAGCTCGCGTGGTGTGTGTTCGTGGCAGTCGAAGTTGGAGGACTGCGTCCATCACATCAACTAACGACATTACGTTGTCGGAATGGAACTCCAACATTAGCGAGTAGTCTAGTTAAATTGTTTTTGTAAATAGTCTGTAGAACTATTATACTTAATTTTAATGTATGATTGATTATTGTAAATTTCCCTAGTACTAATAATGTGAATAAATTATTATTTATTGTTGTCAAAAAAAAAAAAAAAAAAAAAAAAATTTTGCACGATAAGTTGAATAAGTGGTTTCAGAAAATCCAATTCACAAGATTTTCTACGGGTCCTATGGGGACGCACGAAAATTCAAATTCAAATGCCTGAATACAGTTCAGTCTATATAAGGTGAATGCAGTTATTAAAGAATGTTATTTATCACAGTGGTATCAAATACAAAAAGCCTGCTACTAATTTATCATTGATTTGAGTTCTGAGTATATAAAACTTTAAGGTTCAAACCTTGTGTAAAATATTACTGTATGGTGATAATTCAAATCATACCTTTTTATTTATCAGCACATGAAAAACGAATATCATTAGGCCTTGGAGAGAGTTAAATATCGCGAAAAGATATTTAAAGAAAATTGCATCACGATTGAACACCAACAAAGCAAACACCCAGGTTAGTCCAAGTATTGGAAGAAGGATGGCCGAACCTTTGACACCAATTTTTGCTTTTCTCAGCTTTGTGTCAGCTTCTGAATGAGGGGTTCTTATTTGGCTGGAGGATAAAGCATTTCTTAACGCCAAAACGAAAATAACCAAGTTGATCTAGAGAAAAAAACTATCATTAATAGGACGTAAATGGTATCCAGAATTATTACCATCGCATTCTAAAAGAAACAGGGAATACCTGTATTTATTAGGGAGGGGTCATACCTAGAGAGTATTAGTTGTGTCAATGGACCAATTTCCTGTTCAGATTAATTTAAAACAAGGAATATTCATCAGTACAGATGGAAAAAAATCCATAAAATTTTGGTTGTGAAATATTGTGAAAAATATAGTGATGCAGATTTGGCTCACTTTGGAACGCGGTAACGCTTTTCACCAGCAATATTAGTAGCCTATATAAAATTTAACTACGACGGTGATATTTTTCGTATTGTTGAACATTCAGCGATAAATTTTGGGATGGTTTTGGACCGAATAATTCGCCCAGTTCACTCTTTCCGCATAGGAAAATTTGTATTTTTATGCTTCAGAAATGAATGACCAACGACTTGCATAGCGGTAATAAAACGTGCCCCATTATGATATCACTGGCATCTAATTCTGACACAATTTCTCAAGCATGCATGTATTCAAGAAAGTAATTGTCAAACATCTTTTAATACAGTTCACGTTTGGTTCCGTATAGGAGTATAGTATACAAAATACCAATCTTCATTCTGTTGAACAGTTTTGTTACATTTTGTTTGACCACGCGATAAGATTGAATTATATCACCAATAAAGCAGCATTGTGCATTTAATAAGATCTGGGAAAAGCATGGATAACGATATCTTGCGAGATTCCTAAACGATGACTTTCTTTTAATCGTCTTTTATCAGGAATATACTGTGTGGAGAATTGCCTCTTACACTCACCAGTAAGACCACGATTATTGTACAGACAAATGTCCAAAACAACGCACCATCACCACGGCACCAGCAGGCACGATCGGTTATAAAATCTTTTCGATCATTTGCACCGACTAATATAGGGACAAGGACAACCGGAACTCCTATACAAGAATAACTAATGGCATTATTAAGCAAAAGTATTGAGGAAAACAGTTTCGTTAGACTATATAGACTATATAAGACGAAAATTCTAATTCGTGATCAGATGACTAGGTAACACTTTGGAATAACATTCAAAATTCGGGGGACAGCGATACACCCGTCATTTTTTAAACACGATTGGTCAAAACTAATGTCGTGTCAAATTGCCGCCCACCTCTAGACTTTCCGACACCTTTGACCGAGATTGCGTAAAATACTTCTACCAATGAATAGGATTTTTAAAAAAATTGGAAACTACAGCTTACCCCAACCAATCACGTAGAAGGCTTTCAGGTGTTTACCTCCCAAAGCCAAGCCCGAGTACACGTTTACGAGTTGTAAATAAATGATAATTCCTTCGCAAAACATCCAGCCAAAAATAGCGAGTATGAAGAAATAAAGTAGTATGGAGATAACTATGCAAAATGTCTAAAAGTGAATAAAAAACAGGATTGGTGCATGATATTTTACATTGCCTGCATGCAAACAGGCCAAATGAAAAAAAAATATATAGAACTAAAAGAACCTCATTTTCCTGCGCTGGTCCAGCTATGATAGCAAATATATCCGTCATTCCAATCGCAACACAGAGGTTTAAGAGGACCTGGGATGGAATGTTGGTCTTGACTTTCTTATGAAGACTCTTCCAGAGTAAAGCGTATGTTGCTATGGTTAGCAACACTCCAACCAATGATATTGAACAGCCTATGGTAGATATTACCTCCAAAGCCTTTCTCTCAGCTTTGCTTAGCTTAAACAAATAGATTTACATGATATATATACGGAAAGAAATACGCAATTTTAATGGTGATGAGTGGAGTGCAAAGTCTAGGAAGATCTTGTATGAATGTAATTTTCAATTTTTAACTTCGGGAAAAAATCGTTGCATCTGGTCAAATTCGTGAGCCGATTCTACAAATTATTAGGGGGTGGGGCGAGGGGAGAATTTTTATTTATTTATTTATTTATACTCTTCGCCATGTTTGGCTGGTGAGCCCTACAGAGTTTAACTCCAGTTATAGGGCCCCTTGCTTACAATACAATTATACTAAATAGTAATAACATTATTCAAATTAACAATCTTCACATTTATTTGAATCTTACCAAATTTCTTGAAATGTCTATTGTAGCAAATGCTGTGAGGTGGTTACATTCACATATCGAGCGATTTCTGCCTGACTGGTGTTCGACTCTAATACAACCATCTGTCTTCCATCTATTTTCACGTGACTCTGGTATCCAGTATGCGCATTTTCCATCGTCATTCTGAAAGTTAAAAATCAGGATCTCATCAAAAAGGTTATTTCCCGTGATTTTATTACGTCATAATATCTGGTTAATTACAAGTAATGACGATATATCGTTGAATTTTATATGGCTTTTCACAATCCTCCATTTCCATTGGTTGACGAGCGGACCGCCAAACCTATATGCGAGCCATTGTCCGTATATTTTTTATCTGGACCAGTATCCCGGATGTCTCAAGCAGCTCACCCAAATAATAAACCGATTGTTAACCTCGCTTGTTCGGTCTGTACTGGGAAATATCAAACCGAGGTTTTTTCGCAGGGATTTTTGCGACCATTTAACTTTAAAAAATATTTTTTCACCTTTCCATTTGTGTCCCAAATGATCTGCACAGGCTGGGTAAACTTTAGCATCTTTGACTGAGGTCGGACACTTGCAGTGATTATCGTACTGTTTACTATCGCATAATTATTGCTGGTGTAAAATTTCTCTCCAAGAAGGGAATTTAATGTATTGTACCAAACGACCACAGCAAGACTGCCAGATTCTTTAGGGATTGCATCAGACGAGATGATGAAGGATGCATTGGGGAAATTTGAACGTCTGTCCTCAAGTGACAATTTGCCTGTGTTTTCCATGTATCTGACACGTAACTGCACGTTTGAAGCGTTTTGACTTATGGAACCATTTGTGTTGTTTCTTATTTCTTCTCCATATTGGTGTCCGTAATTTTCCAACGTTGTTACAAGATCTGGAATGACATTTCTATCCTAGAATAAGAATATTATTTTACAGTTGAGAAGAAAAATCGACTTTCGACGAGCTAAAATCTATGAAAAACAATCAGGATGGCGCGTGTATGACCTTTCAATATAGAAGATGCTGTGAGAACTTTGTAAGCACAAAAGTTCAAACTGGTATTGCTCGATAATAAGTATTTTCGTTAGTCTGTTGATCCATTTCAACAGCAAACTCACCGAAATATTTTTCCATGATTTATCATTTCTCTCATCCAATATATTGCTGGCAGGATCTAATACTTTAAGGCTGCCATTAGAAATATTTAAGTTTACGATCTTTTGAAGTATTTTAACCGTGTCACTAAGAATATGTTTGTCAGCGCCATTTTCTCCTCCCGCCACTTTATCAAGATCTGTGATCTTTGTCAGTTCCTTTATAATCTCTTGTGCATCTTCTCTCCGTACTTCATCTGATATATTCTTATTATAAAGTTCGTTCACCTAAAAATTGAAATACCCAGTTTAGAAAAAGTGGGATTTTCGAGGATTTTACAGAACGCTTTACTTGTCTAAGACAGTAATAGGTATTGCGTATCACTGATTTCTTCCACAATTTAGTGCAGGGTCGAAGTATTGAAATTATGCAGAGGAAACATGGGCCGAACCGTGAAAAAGAGCAGACGACGGAATTTGACTACAATATTTCTTTCTATCTGCAACCCAGGGGAATGTCTTTTAAGAGCAATCAAAATGCATAAATATTGACTACTTCGCGTAAAAGGTACCTTATTTAGCATTTTGCATGAAGTATTTAACATTCAATCATTCTGATTGACTTAGCCAGAAAAATAATAACAAATATCCTGATTAGTTTAAATCCTTGTTCGCAACCCTAATTCAGTAATCTGTCAGCCATCTTGGAACATTGTATTCGCCAAGATGACAAGGGAGGGTCGCCAGTGAAGACGGTGTAGTTTCATTGGTTCGTGTTGTGATCTAAAAGACTTATTCCAGAAAGCGAAAGACTGAACAAAAAGGAGACTAAAAGTAAAACTGAAACTACAGCATGTATTTGCCATAAAACTACAGAAGTCTGTAATAAAAAATGAAGAATATCTGTAAATTAGTTTCCTCTACTACGTTTATCGGTTTATATCAAAATACATCTTACCAGATTGTTTAGTTTCCCAATCTCAGCCATGATTTTCGATTTTGTTAACATTCCTAAATAGTTATATGTTAAACTCAGCACTTTAATAAAGATCACCGTATATCAATTATATTGTTCTCATGTATTTGTTAGGCGGGGGAATTGATTTTTTTAGTCTCCGCATATTTCAAGAGATCCTTCGTTCTATGTTATACTTGAATTGAAATACCGAATTAATTGCTTATCACAAATTGGCTAAGAATAATTGTACAAAACTATTGCTTGTGCGGAAGTTGACCAATGGCATTAATTCCGATTAGTTAAGTTTAAAGAAAAGTGCCATCAAAATTCACTCCTATCAATGCATCTTACGTTTTTGACATACGAAGGGAAGCCTATTAGAACATGTCACATCATTCCACTTTCCATCTTTTTGCATTTCAACACAGTCTTCACTTCCTCCCAAATTATTTATTTGGTTCGCTTTGGTCCCAATTCCTATAAGTTGCTGGGTAATTATCAGGATAACACCACGATCGCGAGCTACTACCACATCTCTTCAAACCAACCCACAATTTACCATTCCCTCTGAATGTTGAATCGATAAAATCGTTAACATCATCTCCATCAATACGGAGAAGTTGGGCGCCCATTTTTTTGCATTCATCATTTGCATCGTTCCAGTTCAACGAAAGGTAGGGTTCGGAAGGCCGAAAGTACGTGTAACAAAAATCAGAGTTTCCCTTCTCATCCGAACACACTATAGAGAAAAGAAGATCTTACACAATAATTTTGGGATAAAAAATTAATAGATAAGTACAATCGCTTATTCCTATAACGCAGAACCTTTTTTCAGCAAAAAAATTTCAGAAAATTTCAGCGATTGAATTTCAAATTTCTTGGAGAGAAAACTTTATGAAAGAAAGGTGTGCGAGAAGGGCAAATTGAGCAAATTATGACTGGTCGAACGTCTTTCATGATTTCATGATACATATGCAATAAAAAATCATATCCTTGGAATTAAAATCAATTACTAATACAAAACTTTCTTCACTATCAGACGGCTTTTATAACCGAACTTCTAGGTACGTGAAGACGCAAATACCCAAGAGGTCTCGTTGTAAGCTATACAATTCGCCAAAAATATGTAAAATGTAGCAAACAACAAAAAATCGGATGATTGGAAGCAGTAATATTTTTATAAAATCAATACTGTTCGTCTTTTCTGCCGCTGTCGAAGGTAGTCTGTAAACAGTACGTGTTTGAAAACATCTCCGCTCCGTGGGTGGTCGTTGAGTGGTCGTAAAATTTGCATGAATATTCTCAGACACTCCTTATGCACATGCTGAGCTAATCATGTTGCTAAATATGGCTGGTTTTTATATCACATAATTTACCGTTTCTCAGATGTCGTAATTCGTTGTAATTCGGTGTTGTATGAAAACCGAATTACAACAAATTGAAAACGAATGACGACATGTGAATTACAATGGTATTTGTTTAATATTTGACCAAGTTATCGTTTTTTAGTGTCAAATAATTATTCATGCTTCGAGCTTAGCATCAAGATCATAGAAATCGAGTGCAGTTCCCTATTGACCCGGGTATCAAGCCATATGACAGGAACGGAACACCAACGATATACTTACAAACAGGCAATCGTGATTAATAATTCAAGAACAACACTGAAATGGTGGCAGCTAGATTGATACGGCTTAAGAACGTATAAAAATAATTACATAACAAATGAATATACATGCGATTTAGTTACGCGAGTAAATTATATCAAATATAGCGGATATTGACAGCAATGAAGTTTTGTCACACAACAACTGTCAATCGAAGTCTTACCTTGGCAGATGCACGAGTTGAGACGAACTAAAAATATCATGAAAACTAGAAGAAATCGGTGTCTTTCAAACATCTTTTGTGGCCTAAACTTCGCTACTTTGCTTCTAACAAAGACTGCTTGAGAGTCATCGAACCGAGACAAGAAGGTATTTTAAATCACAAAGGAAACAATCTAGGACTTGAAATACTGCATAACAACATCGATTGCAGGAAAGCAGTAATTGTTTTAAAGGACATGTACAGCTGCCTGACTCTGATACTCAAAATTCTGTATATTTTATACAGAATATTGTTATGAAACAGGAAGGGGATATTTAGGAATATTTCACTTCTTTTATACACCCTATATACAAACACGTTCATTAATTTGTCGTCACGTATCTGCTATTGCCATTGAATGCTATTGTCTTCTACGTACAGAAATCTTAACAATCATCGAGAGGCACTTAAACGTAGCTAATGCTCTCATCATATATGTATACTAGAAGGCGACTAAGTGGTTCCGTGAAACCACTAATAGGCTGGTATTCAACGTGTTTATGGGCCTCAACAGACTAGGCATTTAGTTGTCGATTTATTTATGATCGACAACTAAAAGCTATCAACAACCAAATAAGTCCGATAAAGGATTCCACACACTGACTGGCGCTCAAAATAATGCTGATTTAGCAACCAAAATAGCGTGGAGATTGAAAGTAGTCGACATCTAAGACAAAAGTTTTCACACACTAGAAAAACGTGTTTGTGTTTGTCGCTATTTAGACCTTCCTGTGCGCGCAGGGTGCGAATTAGGTTATATAAAACATACATATTAAAACGTCAACATAAGTAAATATAATTTGCATCGAGTAATAAATTGTTTCCACTGACTAAGATTTTGAAGGAGTGAGAATAAACTTTTCGCCATCCAGTGATTTGTTGTCCTCTTCCACGAAAACAGAAACTGTTGGAATTTTTGATTTGGTAGGGCTGGTTTCAGTTGTCGCAACAGTTAAAGCTACACAAAGTAAATAGAAAGAAATGACCGAATCAATAACGAAGCATCTGTTCATTCATCAATATACCTATTCAAACAAAATTTAAAATTTCACTTTCTAGTTGTTATTAATTTTAGTAAGTTGGTATTCAACTATATGAATAAGAGTTTAAATAAAACGCGTTTCATTAAAACACGTTTCATTAAAACACGAAGTAGTTCCATCCTGAAGTATCCTATTATGTCCTGAACTCGAAAAACGGCCACGTTATCCAAAAAACTGTTAATTGCCCGAAAAAGCTTAATTAATGTTACTCGTTCTTCTCCTGGTATTTCAGATTTTTTCTCTTATCCCAATATCTTTCTTCCTAATTCATTTAAATTTATTTTAATGCGTCGTTTTATTACTTACCGACATTGGCATTGGTGTCTCTTGCATTTCTGGCATCACGTGATTTCTTTACCCTGCTGATTGCGTCATGAACCTGAAAAAAAAGAAAGTAATTTCTTCACGCGAAAAAGGTATAAATTATTCTTAGTTTTTGCAAGTTGAATAAGTGGTTTCAGAAAATCCAACTCACAAGATTTTCTACGGGTCCTACAAAAGGACACACGAAAATTTAAAATCAAATGCCTGAATGCAGTGCAGTCTAAGGTGAATGCAGTTACTATAAAAAGTGTTATTTAACACAGTCAGTGGTATTAATTCAAAAAGCCTGCTACTAATTTATCATTGAGTTGAGTTCTGAGTATATAAAACTTTAAGGTTCAAACCTTGTGTAAAATATGACTGTATGGTGATAATTCAAACCATACCTTTTTATTTATCAGCACGTGAAAAACGAATATCATTAGGCCTTGGAGAGAGTTAAATATCGCGAAAAGATATTTAAAGAAAATTGCATCACGATTGAACACCAACAAAGCAAACACCCAGGTTAGTCCAAGTATTGGAAGAAGGATGGCTGAACCTTTGACGCCAATTTTTGCTTTCCTCAGCTTTGAGTCACCTTCTGAATGAGCGGTTCTTATTTGGCTGGAGGATAAAGCATTTCTTAACGCCAAAACGAAAATAACCAAGTTGATCTAGAGAAAAAAAACTATCATTAATACCAACGGCGTAGCCAGCCTGACGATTTAGTCATGCGATGCAAATTTCATGATATTATCATTATTAATACGAAATAAATAGTATCTAGAACTATCATCGCATCACCATCGCATTCTAAAAGAAACAGGGAATACCTCTATTTATTAGGGAGGGGTCATACCTAGAGAGCATTAGTTGTGTCAATAGACCAATTTCCTATTCAGATTAATTTAAAACAAGGAATATTCATCAGTACAGATGGAAAGAGAATCCATAAAAGTTTGGTTGTGAAATAGTGTGAAAAATATAGCGGTGCAAATTTGGAACGTGGTAACGCTTTTCAACGGCAATATTAGTAGCCTATACAAAATTTAACTTTCCATGGCGATGTTTTTCGTATTGGTGAACATTCCGCAACAAAATTAAAACTTTCAGATTTCACGATAAATTTTGGGATGGTTTTGGACCGAATAATTCGCCCAGTTTACACTTTATAGGGAAATTTGTATTTTTATGCTTCAGAAATGAACGACTAACGACTTGCATAGCGGTAATAAAACGTGCGCCATTTTGATATCACTGGCATCTAATTCTGACACAATTTCTCAATCATGCATGTATTCAAGAAAGTAATTGTCAAACATCTTTTAATACAGTTCTTGTTTGGTTCCGTATAGAAGTAGTATACAAAATACCAATCTTCATTGTGTTGTACAGTTTTGTTACATTTTGTTTGACCACGCGATAAGATTGAATTTTATCACCAATAAAGCAGCATTGTGCATTTAATAAGATCTGTGAAAAGCATGGATAAGGATATCTTGCGAGTAATCCTAAACGATGATTTTGTTTTAATCGTCTTTTATCAGGAATATACTGTGTGGAGAATTGCCTCTTACACTCACCAGTAAGACCACGATTATTGTACAGACAAATGTCCAAAACAACGCACCATCACCACGGCACCAGCAGGCACGATCGGTTATAAAATCTTTTCGATCATTTGCACCGACTAATATAGGGACAAGGACAACCGGAATTCCTATACAAGAATAACTAATGGCATTATTGAGCAAAAGTATTGAGGAAAACAGTTTCGTTAGACTATATAGACTATATAAGACGAAAATTCTATTTCTCGATCAGATGACTAGGTTGCCTAGATTGCGTGAATACTTCTACCAATGAATAGGATTTTTAAAAAATTTGGAAACTACAGCTTACCCCAACCAATCACGTAGAAGGCTTTCAGGTGTTTACCTCCCAAAGCCAAGCCCGAGTACACGTTTACGAGTTGTAAATAAATGATGATTCCTTCGCAAAACATCCAGCCAAAAATAGCGAGTATGAAGAAATAAAGTAGTATGGAGATAACTATGCAAAATGTCTAAAAGTGAATAAAAAACAGGATTGATGCATGATAGTTTACATTGCCTGCATGCAAACAGGCCAAATGAAAAAAAAATTAGAACTAAAAGAACCTCATTTTTTTGCGCTGGTCCAGCTATGATAGCAAATATATCCGTCATTCCAATCGCAACACAGAGGTTTAAGAGGACCTGGGATGGAATATTTGTCTTGACATTCTTATGAAGACTCTTCCAGAGTAAAGCGTATGTTGCTATGGTTAGCAACACTCCAACCAACGATATTGAACAGCCTATGGTAGATATTACCTCCAAAGCCTTTCTCTCAGCTTTGCTTAGCTTAAAGAATTAGATTTACATGATAAGTAT